GGGGGTTTGGACTAGATGGTCTCTAGAGGTCCCTTCCAACCTTAACCATTCTGTGATTCCCTTTGTCAGCAGGAGCTGGGCCTTGACTGGTACCATTGCAGCCCACCACGGTGCAATATATTCTTGATTATTAATGAAATTAAGTGCAGCATTAAGGCTCAAAGTGCTCACCTGGGCTTTCACACCACAGCATCTCTCTCACCTTTCTGCCTGGCTTCTGAGATGCTGCTTCCAGCCATAGGGGTGTTCCTGGCAGCTGACTTTTGTGTTGCTTCTGAGGCGTTTGGGAATACACGTGGAAAACCCTAATGGGGCTYTGTGCACTCAAAATACCTGTGACTTTTTAGGGCTTGAGCACACCAGTGAAAACCAGTGTGGTTGGCTGGGAGAGGCGGGTGCGGAAGGATAATCCTCATCAAGTATTGGGGATAAATGGCGTTGCTTGGTTTTTGAAACGAGTCTGTTGGCTGCTCGCTGTTTACCCAGGAATCTCATTTAAACCCCATGCGGTAGTCCATAATTGCCTGAAGAGCCATAATGCAACCAGAAAATGAATCAGAGGGAATTATTTTACAAACCCACTGCTCAACTAGGAGCCAGCAGCAAGCCACAGTAGCCCTTTTCATGTGCTTATCTTCATTATGACATTAGAGATGCTATCTGCCTCTGCCAGGTTTTTCTTAACCCCAAGTTCACAAACATCCGCTCTCTTTTTCCTGTTTTCTGGAGAGCCATGTAACTTCCTATTAGTATCTTCAGGTTTTGAGTAGCAAAAATAAATTATATGTTGGTGCTAGTGAATCAAGCCTTGATAAGCCTTTCTCTGAGCTTGCTCGTACAACCCTGACCACTTTCTGCCTTTTTATTCTGCCTTGATATTCAGTTAAAATCAAGGCTCATCAAGCTGACTGACAGCCTACTGGAGTGTTTCAGCTACCTGTTCATGGGCATTTAGCACCATGTCAGATGTGTAGGACMCCAGCCTGTCCCCGTGGGGCCGTCAGCTGGGGCAGAGTGTCAGGCAGAGATCATCCAGATCTCTAGAGATCATCCAGTCCAACCCCCTGCTCCAGCAGGGACACCCAGAGCACAGAGTACCCGCTTGCATCGAGGTGGGTCTTGAAGACCTCCAGAGAAGGAGACTCCACWACCTCCCTGAGCAGCCTGTTCCAGGGCTCTGTCACCCTCACAGTAAAGATGTTTTTCCTCATCTGGAGATGGAACTTCCTATGTTTCAGCTTACACCCATTTCCCCTTGTCCTGTCACTGGCCACCACTGAGAAGAGCTTGGTCCTTCCTCCCTACATTCCCCCAAGATGCCACTTGGTGCTTGGGTCTAGACACCTGAATGGGTCCTTAGGTGTCACACGGCTAAATTCTTTCCTTTTTCTCCAGTAATGAACCACGTGTGCCTTTTCAATAGGAAGCTCAGCCTAAATTCCAGATAGCCCCATATGTGTAAAGGAAATGACCCGTCTCTCTTCTTCCTGAAGCTCTCGGATGTGCAGCCCCGGGTGCCAACAGCCTCCACGCCAGTGGGAATCAGTGGGATCTCCGGGTGCCAGCCGCTCTCGTCGTGCTCAAACACTGACGCATCTGTGCTGGGGAAATCTGGATTTACGGTAAAGGCACAAAATGTTCATGTTCTAGAAATATTTTTTCCAGCCCCTGATATTATTTGTAGTAGCCAAGAGAATATGAAAGTGTTGGGAAAGGATCTTGAGACTGGGCAAAAATATTCAAAGCGGAGACTACATTTTTTTTCTCTTGTACAGGAATTGTGTACAGAATGTACGGTTTGAATCACAAATCACTAAGAAAAGGGATATGTTGACTTAAATAATTCTGTATCAGAGTTGACAGAATTTTAAATTCTCTTACCATGCTGCGTGCTACCATCTGATGATGTCTTGGCTGTAGTATTTTGGATGACTCACCAGGAACCCAAACAGAACTAGATTAACGCTTCTTCGTAAATCACTATCGCATTTGCTTAACCATTAATGGTTTCGGCGTTCTCATATTTGTGGTTCCCTTGGCCTCTACCATAAGTGTTTCAGAGGCTGGTTGCACGGCTGTGTTCGTTGCAGTCTGTCTTCCCTYGGATGTATCCATCTGCCTAAGAAATCAGAGCTGAGCGTGTTCCCGGTTCCTGGTAGCACTTTAATTCTGCTGTGACCCCACTGCAAACGGTTGTAGCTAAATCGTGAAAACATGAAAATTGGGGGGTTTGGAAGCCACGATTTTTGTTCCACATCCAAGCGCTCCACCAATATAATATCAAGAACATCCATACGCATAACAGGAAACAATAAATAGTTAATCGAGGCTCGGGTAGGTGCCAGTGCAGTTTATAAGTTTCTGTAAGTTCAGGTCCTGGCTGAGACTTTCTGTCAAAAACTCAAAGCTGGCACCACTACACGGACTTGTCCCATCCCCAACAAGAGGCTTTTTCCAACAAAGYGAAAGAAGGAAGAAAATGAAGTGAAACTGAGAAAACGTTGGGCTCTCTAGAGTTGGTCAGAGAAGTATATGCCATTTGCTAAGTAGTAAAAAAACATTTGCTGATCTGTTGCCATCTGTCTTTATGACCTTACCCACTCAGCTAGACACTGTGACAGCCGCTTTTATTGTATTGTTTTAAATTTAAGATGTGTATTGAGCAACTGTGTACATGTATTTAAAAGAGCCTAAGGACATCCAGCTCTGCCATGCTGGGAAGGTTGTGGGTCCTGTGGATGTAGCGGGTTTCTGCCATTCTTGCTGTGTTTTCCAGATTCTACTTTTTTTTTTCTTTTCTCTTCTCTCTTTTTTTTTTTTTTTTTCTCTTTAAGTTCCATAGCTCATTTGGTTGCCAACATTACTGTAGGCTTCTTAATGTAAATCAATCCACTGCTGTCTTCCCGAGTCTGGAGACCAACTAAAACAATAGCACCGAGAGGTGTGAATTTTCCCCATTCATCTTAATAGACTGTTAACTTCAAAGTCTGCTGGTGACCACTTAAAGGCTTAGTGTTAACCTCTGCTGCTACAGTATGTCCAACAAATGCACTTGTTGTCCAACCCCATATGGACATACCAGATGTGCTGGAGTGGACATTCCAGAGGAAATTGCTGCTAGCTGCATGGTCCAGCCACAGGACCGAGGTAAGACACTGGGCCAGTACAGCTGAGTCCGGTAGTGCTGTTCTTTTTGAACTGCAGATGCCGGCTTTATAATCTGTCTCCAGCAATTCCTTCAGTGAAACTGCCACTTCTAACCGCTTTTCCAGATTCCATAGGGATGTYGCTAAAATTGCTGAGCAATTTTGCTCATCTGCATCCAATATTGAGAACTTCAACAAGTCRTAGAGTGTTTTTTTTTTCCGCGGGCAGAAAGCGAACACGATTTTTCAGACTTATTTTCCCCTCTTTTTCTCTACAAATAAAGAAGAATATTGACTTACATTTCTGCAGAGCCGTCTATATAAAACAGATCCAAAAGTTTTCCAAAGTGTAGCTAAGGTTCCACAACTACATCACAAGTACAGATCATGAACCTGTTTTTTTTTTTCTGTTATATTCCCATTTAGCACTGTTGTATTATATAAAATACACCTATTCTGCTTGCTGCACAGGTGACAAATCATTGAAAGTTACTATACCACCTAAATATGCTGGACAGGTAATTGACATTTACCAAGGGTGATTGCAATGGCTATATTGAAAATGTAGTGCCAACATTTACCTTAATATATCATTCCAGTCACTGTAGGTTTTTCCCCAAAGCATGTTGTYCTACGTCTTCCATCTGCACCATCCCAGCCACCAGAGAAAACACTCTCAGTATTTTCTGCTTGCTCCTTTTACTCTTCAGATCCTACTGATCTGTTCCAGGAAGATAGAGATATTGCAGTATGATGTCTCATGCTTTGGTGTATCTTTCCTTTCCATACAGTAAGTCTCTTTGGCCTCTTTTCCCCCTCAGAAGCACAAGTTCACATTCTCCTTTTATTACCTCTTTGACACTCTTATTTCTTCATTGCCTTTGGCTGAAGGGAGAGATCATGGTACTTTTTTTTTCATTATCTTTCTTTTTCTTTCTGAGTCTTTGTTCAGTGGAGGACTAAGGCAAGCAATAACCCTTCCATCTCAAAGTTACTTGCTTGTGCTCCTCATCTGGTTGAGTTCCTTTCCATCCTGGACATTGCCCCGTCGGCGCGTGCTCCTTGCTCTTCAGTCTCACCATGTTTAGGGATCACTTTCTAGATGAAACTCAGACAGGGGGATTCATCGTTATCCTTTGTGATCTATTAGTGAACTCTGTCCTTTATCTCTTTTTCTCCAATTTCACTCTAGACTTCTGTATTTATGTTTATTTGAATCACATGGTTTCTTGGTGTAGATATTACCATCCTTTACACACCTGGAACTCTCATCCATCCATACCGTGATTGCTGTGAAGGTCTCTCACCATYTCCAGACACACCAACCTCTCCTCCTTCCTCAAACTGCAGCTGTAGAAGCTGTTCCCAGCCCACCACTGTGGCAGGAGCCATTCCTGGTTTTCCCTCAGTGCTGACACCAGACAAGCACTAAAGCCCCATAGGGCTTCCAGTCTTCTCTTCACCACTGAGGTTTCCCTCTCCAGCCTCAGGCATGTGACGGCTCCGTTGTCCACCTGTGAACTTTACGGATGGTGGAACTTATGGAACTTTATCCCACCTAGTCCCTAATGTGCCTTCCCAGTGACCATAGAAAGGGCCTTTTTGGTGGTGCTTGTGACTGTTGGCTCTATTGTTACACTGTAAGAAATGTTGTTGTGGTGACCAGCGCGACTCATCACTTCACTGGTGTCCTGAGCCAAAGTTCCTGCTCCCCTACATGAATGGATCCCAGATGAGCACAGTCCTACCTAAATTCTCCTGGGGCATCTCGTTATCATCAGTGGCAGCTCAAAAGCAGAAGGTTCACAGCTTGAGCCCCGTCAAGCTGACAGCAGCTGCCAGGCTGGCAATTAAGAAATCCTCCCTTGAGCACTATTGGAGGCTGCGGGAAGCCCACAAGGGCCTTTCTGCAGCTTCTCTCCTGCCTTTCCAGCCCAAGGGATGGTGGCAGGGAGAGCCAGGTGTACAGCAAGGACCCTTCCAGCTGGAAATCCCTGGTATTCCTGGAATCATTTTCTTCGGAGCTGGTTAGCTGGATAATTTCTTCCTCCTTTTTTTCTTGATGGTTATTGTGATCTCTGTTCTGTGTTTATAATAACGTGTGTTTACTAATAGTGTGGTGGCATGCCACTGCCAAGCTGCTTCTGCTAACAATAAAAAAGGGAAAATTGATATTTATGGAGACTCGGGGGCTGGCTGGGCTCTAGCTCGTGATTTTTATTGTAGCTGACTGCAAACTTTTCAGACACGAGGATCTGTATCTCATTGTGGAGAGCTGGTTTCCATTTCGGTCTGGGTCCCATTATTAGGGTTTGCTTCACATTTTGTAAGGTTAGCCGTGTGCGGATTCACACAAACAAATATGTCATTTGTGCCTGTAGCTTTCACTGGCAGTATTTAAACCTCCACCTATTTGAAATGTGCCTGTAAGAGAAGCTACCATGTGCCTTAAGATACCTTAATGCCCCACAGTGTGGTTTTCAGGGGCATGGGACTTGGTGTTTCCAAGGCCTAGGCAGTCACTCCCAGCCAACGTGCAGGAAAAAAATAATTCCCAGGAAAGCTCAAGGTCCCTTGGGAACAGACTTGGAGGAAGTTTAACTCCTTTTAAGCAAGGATTTTGTCCAGGATGTTCCGGGCTGTTTTGGCAGAGATTGGGTATTAAGCACTTAGCTATCAGGGAAGGCTCCTTTTTCCTAATCTAGGTCTCTAGATTAGGGACATGGTTCAGCAGACATGGTGCTAATGGGTTTACAGTTGGACTTGATGATCTTGAAGGTGTTTTTCAGCCGTAATGGTTCTGTGATTAACATATGTGTCTATAGCYCATTGAGGCCTTTTGGAAGATCGTATTATGCTAAGAAGGTGACCTGGCAGAAAATAGACATAACACCTTTTAAGTGTTATTAATAATTTCTTGGTTTGTGATCTTTTTTTTTTCAATTTGTACAAAAGCAAGAGTCATGTAACTCCTATATTTAACTGTTTTCTTTTCCCCCTGTGACTGCTAAACCAAAGTACTCATAGAAGTATTGGTGTCTTGACCTTTTTACTGACTAGAGTGAGTTTGGGACAATATCAGAGTAAATGGGACCATCTAGGAAACTGCTTTTATCTCTGAAGGAAAAGGTAATTTCTTTAACTGTGCCACAACAGAAGGATTTGATTCTCTTCCTGGGAATTTGATACTGAACTAGGCCAACAGTTCAGCCGTTCACTCTAGCGAGAAGATTCAGTGAGAACCAATATTTATAAACTGCCATATCTCGATACGTATTGTCCCACATGAGATGATACATTTGTATCTTCCCCTACTCATTTTCTAGTGAAATTTCTGCATAATTTAAGTGACAGAAACTGCTTCTAACTACTGCCAGCTAGACCAATTACCTGACATATTATTTCAATATCATGTGTTTGTTACTTTAAATCTGTCAGAGTTATAGGGAAAAGGAGTATATTTTAGCAAGTCTGTTATTCTGTGACACAGACTGTGATACATCTTATACACAGGGAAATTGTAATGGGTTTAATAAATTTAAGCTGCGCTCTTGAGAAGTGAACTGAGCAACTCTATAGTTCCTGTGCAAAGTTACATTGAGAGAACAGGAGAACATCACTGGTCTCATTTGCTTTGTCCAATCCCACATATACTCAGTTACCTGAGTGCAAAATCTATATTCCCATTTCCAGTGAATCCCACCTTCAAGCAACTCTGAATAGAGAAGTTTTCTTGTTTTCTTACCCGGATTCCTAATTGATTTCCATGTAAGGTACAAGCTGTATTAAAACAATGAAAATTAATGAAAACCATATGTATTATCAATCAGTCATCCCTTTCTAGCTGGCAAAAAAATCACAATTCAGCCCCAGAGCAAAGGGAACTTACGGTTTGCAAAAGGCAGAAAAATGAGACTCAAGAGGAGTTCAAAGACAGCAGCAATCTTGAATTTTGAACATCCTCTGTTCTTGCTGCAGCCCTACTAAAATAAACAGTACTAGCTTCAGTTTTCATCTTGTGCTAAGACTTCAGTGGGAACTTTGTGGGAGAAGCATGGATGCTTTTGCACTGATGTGCACATTATTATTTATGTCCTGAATTTTGTTTTGCTTTTCAAAAAAGATCTTCACATGCGTATTGATTGTGGAGTATTTTTAATACAAACACTGGATTTGAAATGCTACCCAGGTCCCCAGTGAGCATGAACTGGTATGACTCCTTTGGTGACCGTGGAGAGACACTGATTTGTGTTGGCAGTTAGTGACCCTAGCCCTTGACTTGCTCATATCGTGTAAACCCATCACAGGATGTACAAGCTGCTTCTATGAAGCCCAATTTCTTCAACTATTAGACTAGCCATGCCCACCAAARTCTGCCCCATGGCTGTGTCTATAACCCTTGAATTTTGCCTATATATCACATTGAGCCATCACACGAGAAAACTTTTCCAAGAGGGGATGGTATCTCCCCTCCTTTCCTCCCTTAGGAAAAAGGAGTTTTCCTAATATTCTTGCAAGAGGTTCTCCCCTGGGCCTGTGACTCATCTATTTATGGCTGTTGGGATGTTCAGCGGGCAGCTGGAGGAAGCTGATGAAACCAAACGCTCCTGCTGAGGGCCCTCTCTTGCAGAGCTGCAGAGGTGAGAGAATTAATAGGAGGGAGTGCAATGTGTTTGGAAAAAAATAAAATAAAACATAGGTAGTAATATATTGCAGCAGGGCTATTTTTTTTTGTTGTTGTAGAACCTCATAAATAATATTGCATGTGGGATTTCCAAGGATGGAACGAGGAATTTTGAGGACTAGACTGAAATTTAATTATCACTGTCTTTGCTTCACTTCTTGCGAATTAGAAGATKAGGACTGTGGTTTCTGGGGCTCCTAATACAGCATATCAGAGCACTATATGTTCAAAGATCCCCACCTTAGACTAGCTTTAAATGTTGTTCATAACAACTTGGGGCACTCTGAAGGTTCAGTTTTCAGTACTGGAGGGTAATACTGAAGYATGGGAGGGCAAAGAGAGGCTCCTCTGCTCACGGGAATTACTGTAGTGCAAGGCTGGTTTGCATCAGCTCTCCCAAGCCAAAGAGAGGAGATCTCCAGGTGGGAAAGGGGAGGTAATTCAGATGCAGTCAGGAGARCCTCACACAAGCTGAGGGTTTGACTCAGCCTCATTTTTCCTACTCGATGGCATATCCTGTTTCAGCTTAAAGGAACATGAGTGTGAGCSCAATCCAGGTTGGTAAAGAAACAAGTTATTGCCTCTTCATTGTGTACGAATGTAGCTTTGTCTTGGGGTACAGTGGTGGCTGCTACTCTGACATCTGTCACAAGTCAAGGAGATGCCACAGCGCAAAGCTATGACCATACAAGACTGAGGTACCTGGGTGAATGAGCCACGGAAACCAAGCAAGGGGGTGTCATATTTGAGTTTGGAGAAGTCACAGGGCTTGCATAGAGGTGGGGGGAGTTTCCTGTTTCTTTTTGTTATCCAGCATGAATTAATGTTTTATTGTAATGCCCAAACATTCCACCTGAATCCAAGTACATCAGAAACTATTGTCCATCTCAAGACCTTTCTTCTTTTGAGCATATTTCTGTGCAAAAGTGGAGTTCCAGCATTACTGATGTTGTTGAAGCATGCATAGTAAATTTTTCTTGGGTAGCCCCACACATGTGCCCATGGTTCTGTATTCAGCCACCAGCTCCTGATCTGGATTCATGTGCCTTGCACTGACCCCTGTATCACATCCCCTGCCCAGTGACTGGGGTCGAGCTTGTTAAGGTAGAAGTAGCTCCGCAGTTTGTCCACCTCAACTGCAGGTCGTGTTGGGCTGTGCAGATGMAAAAATAGAAGTGTCACCTCTTAGGAGGACACAAAAGTGGTTCCCACCCCTTTGGGCTGGGAGGAATTACATCTGAAACAGGTCTCCCTGTGAGGATACAGCTAAACTTCACACAGCTTCCCAAGGTCCTGAAGACAGAACTTCAGCCAAACTCCTCAGCAAGGCTCTTAAGGTTTTTGTTGTCACAGGTGTTTTTAATTACTACCATTGATTAGGTTCTGAGTATTTTTTTTTCCCCTAGTCATCATCAGGCTTGTGGGCTTCCTTTGCCAGCCTRGGAATAAATATTCCCCTGGAAGGAGAGGCTCACCTATGGAATCAACAGCAACATGTAGAGCCTCCTCTGCAGAGCCTGCTGCAAACTGCCTCATGTTCAGATCCTAGAACCTGGTGTGGCCACTTCTGCTGTGGGTGAGTGGATACACACACTGCTCTTGGAAAAAAAAATGTTATTTATCTCATTGGGAACTATTTGTCTGAGATAAAAGATGCTTGGATTAGCATTAAATGCTTGAAATTTTGCCTGTTTTGTTAGTTGTGGTGCATGTGAGTGGTGGTCATTGCTCTCCAACTGGGTGGGCGAGGATGTTATAAGCAGGTGAACTGAAAGAAAATGTGGTCAAAAATAAGCTCTTTTCTTCGGAGGTGTCCAGCCCAGAAAAAYGAGCCTGATAAAGGAGTTGGCTGGCACAGATATTACAATAAATTTTGTCTTTATTTTTGTTTTCATACAATGTATTTTTGTTGAGGAAAACTACCTAGGCCCCTCTCTGGCATGTCTCTGTGTTAGAGATCTAGCAGTAGGCTTCACAAAATCTGATATTACATCTTATGTAGCACCTTTCATGTGAATATTAGTGTGTTAAACTAAAATATGCTTGTAATGAGCATTTGCATGGATATAAATGTAAACCCAATAGGAGCATAAACACAGTCCATATGAAAGTGTAAATCGGCAAAGGGGAGGCAGTGGGGGTAGGAACTAATAGTCGCAGTTCTTGCCACGACTGTCAGATGTTCATTTTGGTGACATATGTGAAATGTAGTGGCAACCTGCGTCTAAATGCATCAAAATTAGTTGGAGACACGTGGCTGTGTGCCATGCACTGCTTGATTACAAAAACACCAATCTGCACATCTGTCTCCAAGCATGCTCTGAGCAGAACTGGGGAGAAGCTGCCAACTCCACAGATGGACAGCTGACTTTCATTTCCAAGGCTGTGACATACCTGGGCTGTTGTCACTGTAGCATTGCATATTATTCTTAATAATCTACCTACCTATGTGTCACTCAGTTTGGCATGTGGCAGCACATATGATGGTTTGCAAGCTGTCATTTTAAAGGCTATTCTTTTTCAGCAGCAATTAGAGAAAATGAAATAATTTTATTGGGATCTGTATGCATTTCCTAAATGGTTCTTTTTCTAAAAGGCCAGGTCTAACCTCTAGATAAAGGAACTCTGTGACTGCTAGAGTTTGGTATTATTCCATAGCACCATCTCGGTGCTATAGAAGGATAAAGAATTGACACCATCAGTCACTTGCTGGAGGCAGGTCCCTCTGGCTGGCTCTGCAGAAAGCACCCAGCTCTGGTGGTATAACCCAGGATATGTTGATTTGTTCTTTTTGATTTGTTGTTTTTCTTACGAACCCAGAAACACCAGAATACACCTCTGGGATCAGTCCAAAGGTCCGTCTGGCTTTGAAGAGGAAGAACATTTGAAGCTTCCTCTCCCTTCAAAAATAGGACATTCAGCCAGCTTAGTGTTTGAATTTGCAAGGTAGTTCATCAAGCTCTCTGTGTTGACTCATTTTCTTCAATTTTCTACCATAAAGAAGAAAAGGTAATTCTGTAAGCAGAGAGACTTGCATGGAAGAGGGATTTTGTTGCTCTGGCAGCTTCATTTTAGCCCTTTTAAAAATACATGTGAAGGAGTCTAAAGGAGGCTGGGGTAAARAATATGTTTACGGCTTACTTCACTYAGCATCTTTTTCTTCAGCTTTCTGTAGTTGCTTTTCCTGTTATTCCTCTCAGTTACTAGAACATCAAATCCTGATTAAATTTAACTTGACTCCCACCTGCAGTAAGGATGAGATGGGCAACAGGAAGCCAAGTGTTGGTGGTGATCCTAGTCTGACCACTGATTTCCCTATCTCCTCCTGTGTGAGCTGGGAGTCAGCAAATGGGGAAGGGGTTGAGTGACTGTAAAATGGACTGTGCTTCTGCTGCCTGCATTTCTCCCCTTCCTTCTGGGGAGGTGAACACAGTTGCTAGAAGCATGTAATGAACACCGTGTTTCTATGTAGACATGAATTCAGATTGTTGTAGTTGTGTATTAGCACAGGATCACAGAATAGTTGAGATTGGACCAGGGTCTCTACAGATCTAGCCCAACCTCCTGCTCAAGCAGGGTCAGTTAGAGCAGGTTGCTCAGGACCATGTCCAGGGGGTCTTGGAATATCTCCAAGGAAGGAGATTCCACAAGCTCTCTGAGCAACCTGTTCCAGGGCTCAATCATTGTCTCGGGAAATAAGTATCTCCTCATGTTCTCTTCCACCAGGAAGATGGAGCTTCCCATTTTTCACTTTGAGCTTCTTGTACTATCTGTGGGCACCATTGAGAAGAATCTGGCCCCATTCTCTTTGCATCTTCCCTTCAGATACTTGCACACACTGATGAGATGCCCTTGAGCTGTCTCTCCTCCAGGCTGAAGAGGCCCAGCGCTCTCAGCCTCTGCTTCTGAGACACTCTGTTCCCTTAACCGTCTTCATGGCCCCTCATTGGACTCTCTCCAGCATGTCCRTGTCTTTCTTGTACTGGAGAAACGAGAATTGGACAGCACTCTAGATGTGGCCTCACCAGGATACAGTAGTGGAAGAGGATCACCTTCCTTGGGAATGGGGATTATCCAATTCATTTATTTAGCAGAAATTGKTTTTTAATGGCATCATCTTCTGTGTAAGACATAAAAATACACTTTTCCCATGAAAGTGATTGAAGCAGGATTCTTCTCTGCAGTGTATACAGAGAACAACTGTATAGGCTTCATCTAGATTTATACTCATATGACCAAGAACCAAACTACTTTTGGGGTGAACTTCTGTGATCCTCCAGCTGCTGCAACTTTTGTTTAAATCAGATTGCCCTAGGCATTCTGAAATAACATTAAACATATCTAGAGAGCTTTTTTGGCCCTGCAGGCCTCCTAGACATCTCAGTGAGGGACGGCAAAGGTTAGACTTTTTAGAGGCATGAGTCATATACTTGCCACGGGCAGGAAATCAACTATTCCATGGACTAAGATCCCCTGCAAGCTGGCCAAGCAGAAAAATTGGCTTTAACTATAAAGGTAGCTGGTAGCCTGCCCTCCTCTTGGAGGTAAGAGGAGTTGGAAAGCTGCCACTGTGGGAGCGTGCTTGAAAAATAGGGACAGAAATGAGGAAAATGTTAAAATGGAGAGAGAGCGCCAGATGGAGAGCCTGTTGCAAACACCTCTGCAGGCTCACCGGTGCAAGGCTCGAGGGCTCGCTAACGAAGGGAAGGCAGCTTCTCAGCCAGCTCTAGATAAAGCTTTATTAAGAAATGTGCTTTTTAACATCCAATTACATCATATTGTTTCCAAAACAGCGCAATGTAGCTGTAGGTTTAACAAGCAGTTTAATAACATGGACATCTCGGCAACGTTCCTCTGTGGGAATTGGGAATTCCTGCCTCAGTCTAGGCTCGAGGCTTGCTGCTTCGCGCGCAGCTGCTGAAAGCACGGCGAGGACGCCCGCCTTTGCCTTAGAACCAGGTCTGCCTCTCAGAGAAAACCTTCTTCAGTAGATCCCAAAACACCAGCGTGCCCTTTGCTGAGTTGGATCGYAGGGAGACCTGAGGCCTGGAGAGGAGAGGCCGCGTGTTCTCCTGAGAGGCACTGTGGCCTCCTGAGGGGCACCGTGGCCTACAAGGGTTGTGTGTGGTGGGACTTGAGCGAGACTAGGCTGGACGTGCTCCATGTGGCAGAACACGTGCCAGCCACAGCCCCTCACTCAGCATCATGTTTTGAGGTTGTTTCCATCGTGATTTGCCACTCTGAACCAAGTATCTTTAAATCCCCCCCTTTTTTTAAAGGTCATCATAACTATTCTGCCTGTTCCTTAGGGTTTTTTCCTCAGCTTTTAGTTGTTTGGGTAACTTTAAGCTTCCACCTGCCTGGTTTACTTCAAGGCATGCTTGAAATGTCCCAGACATAATGACTTTACCAGTATGGCCCTCGTGTAAGTAGCAGTTAGCAGCGGTAAGACACCTCGAGACCAGGTTTTAATCTGCCTTGATTGAAGACTAAAAATGATTCACTCCTGTCAGCACCGGGCAACACAACAAACAGCTCTCCAGCAAATCACTTAAGCAGAAATATGTTGGCATGTTTCTATAGCAACTAAGGAAAAATATTTCGCACAAAAGTCCATCTGCTGCAACATAGAGGGAGATCTGGCCAAGGAGCCCATTAGAAATTAATCTTAATTTGCAAATTTTATTTTTGCAAACTTCGCGCAGGCACTCGCGCCAAAAGGTGGAGCCTAATCAGAGGGAGGACAATTGATTTTTAGATACAGGCTGTCAATTAATCACCGAAGCGGTCATTAATTTGGGAAGCAGTAATTGTCTGAGGGTGAAAAATTGCAGTGCCTTTGAGAGAGATTCATTTCCCTTGCTGTTTACCCATCGCACCATCTTGTACGCAGTGTATTTGGAAACATACTTTATTTTTTTTTCAAAGGAGCCTAGGAGCAAGCGTCCAATATTTAAAAAAAAAAAAAGGCATTTTGGTTTGATTTACTTGTAAAGAGTTACTCAGATTTATTCAACCGTATAAAATGCTTTGTAGAAGCCATCAAAGTGAGGAGAGGGGGGAAAAAACAGTGCGATAATTTGGACTGTGATGCATTTTATTTTATGTGATGTCAACACTTCAAAGCCCATTGGAGCTGTGTTCGGGAGATCTGAAACATTTTACAGGGTGCTTGGTGTCTGTGTTACAAACCATCTCCAACTACAGATCCTCTCGCACAACGATTGCGTGTTGGCTGCCAGTGTTGCTGCTTTCTCCCTAGCTGCTTTCCTTGTCTCCTCTAGCAGTTCTGCGTAGCCCCAATAATGAATTTAAAAAACAAGTCCAAGAAATCCAGCACAAACTTATTTTTCACTCGGCTAAGAAACATTTAGGCTAATGTCCTAGAACGTACGCCAGATCTCCCTGGGTTATGTCAAGGAGAAGGGAAGTCAATCATAAGTCGATTCTGTCACCTGAAGCTTTTTTATGAAATGTTATACCTTAAAATGCTTCAGGAAGAGGTGAGGTCTTTGTGTCTTATGTCATATGCCCTTCCTAACATCTGATGATATTTAAAAATATCTTGGCACGTGGAGTTGGCAAGAGCTGTGGAGCTAGAAATGCACAGCTTCCAGCACAACAGCCATATGGTCTGCTCCATCTTCCACCTTCCCTGCCCAGGAGAGTCCTTGACAAGGAGGACTGCCAGTCTCTTCTGGTCTCTTCTAGTGAATAAATGCACGATCTGGCTGGAGACCTGTTAGGTAAGCAAGTAAACATGGGACTAAGGCTGCTTGTGTGGAGGGGAGGGAGCATCAGAGAATGAAGTAAGAGCAGTGGAGCGCTCCAAACGTCTTGGATAGACTTTTATGTTCTCCTGGGCCTTCACACCCCCTCTTTCCAGCTATGACTTTATTAAATCCTATCTTCTCAATGGAACAGGAGTAGAGGGAGGAAAAGCTTCTCCACATAAGTTTAGAAGACATTTCACCTTTAAGCCTCAAACAAAAGTTTATTTTTAAACCAAAAGTGCATAGGAGGAAAAATGGTGGGTAGTTATTAAGAACAGAAGTAAACAAGCATCACATCTCATGTTCTATCTGTTTTGAGATGCATCAAACTGGTCGTTTGGAAAGCAAGAAAATATCTTGCTAGCAGCAAGAAATGGACATCCCCACACTGGAAAGYGATAATTAATGAAAGAAACTAATAGTTTTGATTGTGTGTTACAAGAACTTGGTTTTTTTAAGATTTTTTATTGCACAGTGATTGTTATTAGTTATTATTGCTAGGACAGAGGAAGAAAAACTGAATTCTTTGGCCAAGCAAATGCTACCTCTGTTCCCATTTCATGGCTATCTCCTCYTCTGCTCTCAGAAACTGATAAAACACTTGCCTCTATTTGATGCATTGGCTTTAACTGGAATTTTGACCCAAGAAAGTCAGAGCTGTTGAATTTTAATGTAGGAGTAAAAGATTTGCAACTGCTGGGGAAGAAGCACTAAAAGGTCTGCTAATCACATTTGCTTGCAAAAATGCTGCAGACTGCTTTGCTATGGGGCCATCAGAATAATGAGGGATGAGTGGGTCAGGAAACTTGACTCAACACGCCGGTCCCAGGTCTGGCCAGGTTTGTGCTCTAGAAGAAGGAAAATATCTTTCAAATGCAAACACATTACAGCATTTCATATGGGTGAAGTTCCAGACTTCCAGGCATTATTTAAGACTCTTTTGTAAATTGGTCTGTAGCCCGTGAATGAAAGTATTTGAATTTGGTTTGACACTGTAATAGCTAACGTGAAATTCGGCTAAATCCATAGCATTACCCAGCCACATACAGTAGTTTAAATGCAATGAAGCACTCGGTGCATCTAGCTTAGCATTCCTAAGCAAATAACCATTTTGCAAAATTTCATACTAGGAAGGAAGTGAAGAAACTGGGTTTTGATTTAAAACAATCTTGTAGCCTCCTCAGCTCAGTTCAAACCTGAAAAATCTGAATTGAGCTTATGGACAGCTTGGGAAAAGTTTTAATAACCTCCTTGATTATGGACTATAGAAGCTCATTTAGCCAAGCTTTCTTAAGTAATGAGCATGATGCTCTGATCCTAAATACTATCTACACTGTTAGTAATAATCTATTGTTTTAATCTGCTATGTGGGACATAGAGAATCCACATATGGGAAATATGTGCTGGGCACCGTGATGAGACCTTAAATACAGGTGGCTTCTGGGTTGGCCCTGCTTTGAGTCAGGGCTTGCAGGGTGAACTTCTCAACCCATACAATGCAGTGTATCTGTGCTGTCAGTAAGCTGAATCCATAGGTGAAATAAAAAAGGAACTGGAGTCGTGCTGGTTTGTTGTTGCTCTGCCTGCAGCAGCGTGYGCTTCCGCAGCGGCTGCCGCTCAGGCAGGCTGTATTATTTCAGCAGCGGTCAGAGGTTTGCTGTGGAAGTGTTTAAGATACCAAACCCAGTCTTCTCTGAAATCCACCCAAGTTCTCTCCTCAAGAAGTGCTGGAAAATGTTGGCTTTCCAAATTACTGTTTACACAGTGATGGGAGGTTGTACTTTAATGCTGAGGCTTAGGTTTGGTGATGGCAACGTGAAAATTGCTCCGTCTCTGATTTCATGCCCTCTGTTTTGTCAGATCTCCCTGATTTGTTTAGAGCGTTTGGTAGGTGATTCCCATTGCGCTGTTGTGGCTTCCGAGTGGGGTTTGCCCTGTCCCGTAGCATTCCCCTCGAGCTTCTGGTGTCAACCAGAAAGGCACAATTACATAAACACACGTTTGAGATCCCTTTTTCACCACCATTCATGAAACTCGGGGCAGAAATCCTAGAGTAGGAAAGACTCTTCCCAGAAGCAGAAATCTCATGAATCTGATACTCCTGTGGCTTGAGCCCAATTTCTGGATTAAAAAGCATCAGATAAGCTTCAGATCTTCAGCAGTTCAGGCATCACGAGCTTGAGTATGCAGGGGACAACGTATCGCAATGACATGTTTCAAGTTTTCCAGAGGTTTAAAGTTTAA